CACACACACACACACACACACACGTGCGCGCGCGCGCACCCCGTTACCTGCAGCACGCTCTCAAAGGAGTAGTCCTGGCCCCTCCAGAGCGTCAGCTCCCCGGTCTGCGCCCCGCTCAGGCAGCGCCGCGCGTCTGGCTGCCACGCGACCGCGTTGATGGAGCAGCGCACGCGGTTCTGGCTGTTGTGGACGAACTTGCAGGCGACGCTGCTGGCGGGGGTGAAGGGGTAGCCCTCAGGTGGCAGCAGCTGGGCAGTGAGGCGGGTTGTCCGTGTGCGTGTGTGCGTGTGAGGGTGTGTGTGAGTGTGTGTGAGAAGGTGTGGTGTGTGTGTGTGTGTGTGGCGGTGTGGGGCAAAGCAGCAGCACGGGTGATGTGCCTGGGAGGGCAAGGCGGGGGTGGAAGTGGATAGGTCCCACGGCCGGCTGCTCCGCGGCGGGGCGGCCGCCCGCGGGGTTGTGCGTCAGCCAACCCGCAGCGCGCCGGCGGGCGCTCCCGGGCGCGGCGGGGGGTGCAATAAGATGGTTCCCCCTGCGGCAGGCTCAAGAGAACCCCCTTTCCCTTCATAACTGAAGCAGCGCCCTCACGTCGAGCGCCGCCGCCATCGTTGGCTGCATCGCGCCGGCCTCCCACGGCGCCCGCGCCGCCAGCCGCGCCTGCAGCAGCTTCAGGAAGGTGCCGCAGTAATCCACCGTCCGCCTGCGGCGCGAAAACGGCGGCGGGGGCGGCGGCGGCAGAGGGCGGAGCGGTGTCGGCAGGGCAGAGGCGTGGCGGGCGCGCTCAGCTCTTTGAGGCCGCGGCTGGAGCCGGTTGCCATGACAGACTGCCGCCAGAGGGTGCCGGCGACCGTAATGAGAATCAAGCTGGCTGCGCTTGCTGCTGGTTGCACGCACGCAGCCTTCCAACCGTCGGCTCGCACCCCGGCAGCGCGGCGCTCTGCCTGCCAATGCGCCCTGCCCCCTCGGACAAGCAGGGCTTGACCGAAGCGTGCGTCGTGCGGCTGGTGTGCCCGCTGTGGGCGGTGCACTCACTTTGGAATGGCCTTCTGCGTCTGCTTCTCCGGCTCGCCAGGCGGCGCCGGCCGCGCAATCAGCTGCATCGCACTTGCTGCGCCACGCGCCCCGCCACGCTTGTGCGCGCTGCCTATCTACCCCGCGGCTGTTGTCACGAATCAAATGGGATGCCACTACATGCCATATCGTCGCCAAATTCCGTAACTCCGCCTTCCCTGTCTTTGTGCAATGAGCAGATCACGGCCCAGGACACTCGATCGGTCTACCTTACATTAATCTAATCAAAACATTGCACGATTTTTGCGTTAGCTTGCAACTGAACAGGGAGTCGACCATCCGCCGCTGCAGCAGTCACCAGGTGACCAGACCCCACGCACGTCCCGCCTGTCGCTATCTACCGTACGTTGGCCAGCTACTGTACCGGCACGATGTGGTTGGTGGTTTCTCTGCGGATGCAAGTCTCACACGGGCTGCAACCGTTCAACCCTGGCAGGAACGGCGCAACATGTTGACTGCTTGTGTGGGAAGCTACCCAACCGCCTGCTGTTTGAGAGGCGAGCTCGGGCGCAGGGGAGATTTTGGAACTATGGCATCTGGAGCCGCGGTGGGTGGGCAGCACAGGCGTACTGATGCTGTGACGCAACAGCTCGAGTGTCTGCTTGCGCTCTGCCCACAAGGCTGCTGTCATGAAGGAGCACTCCTGTACACGGCTTTAGCACCTGATTTGCCTAATTTCGTGGGACTGGGCAATAGTGATGCACACAGCCCGATCACATGTATCTCATCCAGCTGGTCAGCGGCGTTCTGTGCCACAGACGAGTCTAAGGTGTGGTGCTGCACTGCAGTAGGCTTGCGGTCAGGAAGGGGGCAACGAATCACGCCTGGTCTAGATGTTGGGTGCGGGAACCAGGCACGGCTGCGCCCGCGCCTTGCATTGCACGATTGTTCAACATGCAGCCATTCTAAATTGGCGCTAATCAAAACCTTTGTCCTGCAGTTGGCATCGAATCCGCTCACGAGCCCCCCTCATCGCCACTCCTGAATGTGCCGCAAAGCGGCCCACCAAGCCCACATTGTATGAAGTCTGGAAGTGCATAACGATTGCAATGTCACTGCAACTCTTGGTAGGTCAAGGGCACAACCCAGCTCTAGACCAGCGCCGTCAACATGCTGGACAGCGTCGTGTCGAAGACAACGGCACTCGAGAGGTTTCAACTGGCCACACGCCTTGGGCGGTCTCAGCCTCAAATCCATCTATCTGTATGAATGCAGCGACCCACATCGCGAGCGCTGCCATACATACAGTCCCAACCCCGCGGTCGGTGCTGATCGGCTACAAGCATTTGCCTGATCTGGGTGGGCATCTGTAGCAATTATATCAGCACTATGTACGCTCATATATCCTGAGTACATCGCATCTCACCAGGCTGGTGTGTCCAACACACTTCGGGGCTTTCTGCAGCACCAGCAGCACTAACAGCTGCAGCAGGAGCAGCAGCAGCAGCAGCAGCAGCAGCAGCGGCTATGCATTATAGCACGTTGAATCCACCGGATAGTGGAGCTCATGTAGCAGTGGCGTACCGCAGGTTCGAGGCGCGCAATGCTGACGCGATGGCGTCAGTACTGTGGCGCACCGTTGCACCGAGTTCGCCGCACCCTGTGCAGACGTGCCTGCCAGGCGCTGTTTGCTTTCTGCAAATGCGCTCATCTGCCTGCGCTCCGTGACCCGCAGCACAACCGGCAGCATACCCCGGCCGCCCAGCACGGGGCCCGACAGGGGATGGGAGGAGCTGCGGAGAGAGGTGGGCCGCGCCTGCCAGTGTTGGAGCCACTCCCCCGTACTGAAACCTGCATTCACACAGAGGCGGCGGGCGACGGCAGGCGTGGGGCGGCCACTTCCAGGAGGGCCCGCGCGCAATGGCCGGCGCCCAGTCGCAGCAGGCGCAGCTGGCCCGTTTCCCCCCCTGCACCTGGCGCCCGCCTGCTGCCGCCCGCGGGCCCCGCCGTCGCCGGCGGCGCGCGCCTCCGCGTGCCCCCCGTGCCCGCGCCCCCACTCCGCGTCACGTGCGTGGCGCTCGGACGCCCCCGACAGGCGCGGCGGCTGGAGGGAGAGCTTGAGTCAAAGCTGCAGGCGTTGACCAAGCTGTGCGCGGGCTTCGAAGCCAGCTACCACCGCAGCCGGCAAGACGCCCCCGGGCTAGGGCACGACCAGGTGCGCCGGCCACGGCCACGCCCCTTCTCGCCTGTGCGGCGCCGCGCGCACACGTTGCGGCCTGCGCGGCCGCCGGCGTGCTCACATCAACAAGGCCGCCCACTGCCGGAGCACAGTCTTTGCATCTTCACTGGGTGCGCCGCCCTCGCAGCCACCCGCGGCCGCACCACACGCACTCTGCCGCGGCGCACCGCGATGCTGTCAGCAGCTGCGGGGGCGTCGCACGTGCACGCAACCCCCTAACACACACACGCACGCGCGCGTGCGCACACACACACACACACACACACATATGCACACAAGCATGCACGCACGCCCGCGGCCCTGCAGTTGGCGCAGGCCCGGGCGTCCGAGGTTGGCGCGCTGCTGCAGCGGCTGAGTGATGTGAATGACGAGATGGGTGGCGTCATCGGCGGCGGCAGCGACGCGCGGGCGCACACGCTCGCGCGCCACAGGGACGTGCTGCAGGAGTACACGCAGGCGCGGTCACACGCGGTGTTCATGTATCTGTTTGAATCGTCCAGGCCTCGACCTTGACCGAATACTTCTATAACGTTGCGCACGCGAGAGCAGCACCATCAGCGCCAGCCCTGCCGCCCTGAATCTCTTTGGTGTTGAGGGGCAGCCAGAGGCTTCATTCGCCTGCTTGTCCGAGAGTGGGGCAAATGGGGTAGGGGAGCATGGCCGTCGCAGACCCCAGGGGCTAGGGGCATCAAAGGATAGCCAAGAAAACCACCCGACATCGCCCGCCGCAAACCGCCGCCGCGCCCGCCCCCCGCTCGCGCCCGCAGGAGTTCCGGCGGCTGGAGTCGTCCCTGGGGGCGGCGCGGGACCGGGCGGAGCTCCTGGGCGGCGGCGGCGGCGAGGGCACGCCGCTGCTTAGTGTGCAGGTGGGCAAGGGGCGGCCTCGTGCCTCATCCCTGGGCCCCGGCTGGAAACAACGGGCGGCGCCCTCCACCCCTGCGGTTTACTGCGTGTAAGGCCTCGTCTGGGCCTCGCCGCACGCCGCGGGGCTTACTGTGTGCGGCCATGCGCCCGCGCCGTCCCGCAGGTGCACACCGCGTCGGGCGCGCTGCTGCGGGAGCGCACGCAGCTGGCCGCGTCCTCGGGCTACGTGGACGCGATGCTGGCGCAGGCGCAGTCCGTCAGCAAGAGCCTGGCGGAGCAGCGGCGCGTGTTCGACACAGTGCAGGTGCCCGGGGGGCGCTCTAGGGCGTCGCGTGCGTTTTGCAGGGGTGGCGGAGGGCAGTGAGGGAGCGGGGCTGCGGACGGTCTCGTGGGGCGCGCCCGCACGACGGCGAGCCGCTCGTCCCTCCCTGCACGCACGTCGGTGCACTGCGGCGGGGCCCCGTTTGCTCTCATGGCTGGGACGCCTCGTATCGCTGGGCATCGGGCACGTGGCCGTACCGCGGGGCCTGCGCTCTTGCCACGCAGGACAAACTGCTGAGCGTGGGGGAGCGCTTCCCTGCAGTCAACGGACTGCTCAACGCAATCCGCCGGAAAAAGTCAAAGGTGAGCGTCACCGGGCGCGGGCCGCGTGTGGCGCGCGCAAAGACAGGCGCGCCGTTTGTTGACAGACCTCGCCGCTTCGTGCTGTTGCGCGAGTGACGCGGGTGGCGCAGCCTGCTGCACTCAATGCGTGTGTCTGAAGCAGGCCGACCGAGGCCACCCCGCCGCAACCTCGCTTGATTTGCAGGACACCCTGATATTGTCGGCGGTCATCGCGGGCTGCACCGTGTTCACGATACTGTATATTGTAGCAAAGTGACCATGCGTGGCGAATAGCATAGAAGGGGCGGTGCTCTGTGCTGAATCGGCAGCCTTGGTCTGAGAGCCGACTGTGCGAATCATGTGCCCAGGCGCTTGCCTTGCTGCCCCTGCGGCTTGCCTGCCTCACATATGATATCAGAATTTCATGCAATAGTATTCCTTGCCATATGACCAAGCTCCATTGATGATTGAGGGTAATGCACCTCTCTTGTGTCATCCTGACCAGCTCTTGGCTGTTTTTCGATTTTGAATCGCCGGTCCAGGGGCACCAATCGTGCATGCAGCACGCCTTCATATGCATACAAAGCTTGAATACATTGGTACCAGGAACCGTCAAAAGCCTGAAGGGCAGCCGCGCACCTCCACCGATCTACCGTGGACGATCTGAGCGCGGTACTGCTCAGTATGGCTGAAGAGAATGCTGAAGGGGCTGCATCTATGAACGAGGATGAGCTCAAGCAGGTATGTCGGCGAGCCCTGGTGTCGGTTTGCTTGAATTTGGGCGCGGGCGGTGGCGAAACTTGGGGCCTTGCCGCCCAATCCACCTTGACGGCTGTGCTGTGTTGGACCAGTAGTCGTGCGATGTACGCTCACCGCCGCATGCGTCGCCGTCGTCCCCGCTCCACAACGCTGCCTGCACGCCCGCCCGACCGCGCGCGCGCGCGCCGCCACGCAGGCCGACGCCTGGTTCGAGGAGGCGCTGTCCCTGCGCGACTCCGACCCCGAGCAGGCCATCGCCCTCATGTCGCGCGCGCTCGAGGCGCGCAACAAGGCGTACGGCGAGACAGCTCTTGAGTGCGCGCACGCCTACATGTACTATGGGCAGATGCTGTTCGAGCAGGCCCAAGCAGCGACCGACGTCCTCGGCGACCAGGTGCGGCGCGCCGCCAAGGACCGCGACGCCGCCGCCGCCGCAGCCGACGACGGCAGCGATGACGCGGCATCCGACTCCGACGCAGAGCCTGACGCCGCCCCGGGGCCGCCGAACCCGCCGGACCCCGCCGCCGCCGGCCCGAGCGACCCGCGAGCCGCCGCCGCCGGTGCCGCCGGCGACGCGGAAGGCGGGGAGGCGGACGACATGCAGGTCGCGTTTGAAATGCTGGAGCTCGCGCGCGTGATCTTCGAGCGCCACGGGGGCGCCGCCGCGCACCCCAGCGAGGTGGCGGACGTGCACTTGTATCTGGGAGACCACTGCACCGAGCGGGAGGAATTCGGGGAGGCGGTGGCGGAATACGAAAAGGCGGCGGCTGCGCTGTCGCGGATGGAGCCGGTGGGTTGCCGCGGACGGCGGCCGGGGCTGCGGAGGGCGGGGACGGGGGCGGCTTGGGTGGGGCAGCTGCGGAGGTACCCTGGGGGGGACATGCGCAAGGCGACCGCGGCCAGCCTTCGTAGCCTGGGGTTCTGTCGGGCCTGCTCGTGGCTGCGGCGCCCCCGCCCCAGGGCCCTCGCCCTCAGGTAATCCCATTCCGCCCCTCCCACCCCCTGCAAACTTAACACCCCCACTCCTCGTCCGGACCCTCCCCTCGCGCGGCGGCGCGCCGCGGCGCAGGAGCCGCGCCGTCGCGCCGCCGAGGTGCTGTTCAAGACGGCGCTGGCACAGCAATTTGGCGACGAGCTCGACGCCGCGCTGCGCTCCATCACGGCGGCCCGCGCGACGCTGGAGGCGCACGTCGCGGCGCTCAGGGCCGCGGCCGCGGCCGGCGGCGCGCGGGAGGGCGGCGCCGTGGCAACGGAAGGGGCGGGAGGCAGCAGCGTGGCGGACGCGGCGGCGGCCGGCGCGGACGCGCTGAGCGCGGCGCTCGCGGCCTTCGCGCCACCACCGGCGCCGGCGGCGGCGGACGGGGAGGGGGAGCGGGAGCGGCGGCGGAAGCAGGAGCGACTTGACGCGGCGGCGGCGGCGGCGCGGGCGCGGCGGGAAGTCGAAGAGGTGAAGGGCCTGCTGGATGAGATGGGTGACAAGGCGGACGAGCTGCGGCACCTGATATCTGAGCGCGCCTCGGTCAAGGCCGCGCTGGCGGGGGTCCTGCGCGGCCTCGCGCCCGGCAGCAGCAGCGGCGGCGGCGGCGGCGGCGGCGGTGCGCAAGGGGAGGGGCGCGAGGGGCGGGAGGAGGAGGCGGGCCTGCCGGGCAGCAGCGCGTCGGGGG